CGGTCTGTATGTGGGATCCGAACCCTCGGTGGGAGCGCCACTGCGCTTCCCAAGCAGCGCATTATAGCAGTGCGCCACCGGGCCGGCCCAGGACACTCAGCTTTCTAAGAGATCGTACTAGCACCTACTATTGTATAATTCATTCATTTAGTCTCTCATTCATTTATTCATTCAACAAATCTGCTTCAGATAAAGCACTGCAGCTATCAATCAAAAGTGCTTTTCCTCATCAAACTTATATTTCCTTGAAAGAATATGGAAATAAACAAAATAAGTGAGAAAAAATGGAACACAGTCAGCTATACATAATGGTTTTCTGTCCCCAGCAGCAGCAGCAGCATTACATGTTGTAGACAAATACAATGTATGAAAAAGTCTTAGGATGCCAGCAGTAAGATATCACAGGTATTGCAATCTTAAATAGGATGATGTGATAGTTAATTTTATGTGTCAACTTGACTAGACTATGGTGTCCAGTTGTTTGGTCAAACACCAGTTTAAATGTTGATGTGAAGGTATTTTTAGATGTATTGAAAGTCTACTGATTTAATATTTAAATCAGTAGACTTTCAATAAAACAGATAACCCTCCACAGAGTGGGTGAGCATCATCCAATTAGTCGAAGGCTGTAACGCAAAGACTGAAGTCCCCAAAGAGGAAGGAATATATGAGGGGTCTTCAAAAAGTTCATGGAAAGATTCATACTATCTTTTAATTCCATTTTTCCACGAACTTTTTCAAGTACCCTCTCATNGAAAGATTCATACTATCTTTTAATTCCATTTTTCCACGAACTTTTTCAAGTACCCTCTCATATATATGTATATGTGTGTATACATGCATAATACAGATGTTAGAGACAGTATTATTGAGAATATTTCAATTGAGTAGAGACCATAAAGAGGCAAGACACCAAGTCAAGCAGACACCTTAGCAAAGAGGGATCTAAGCAGAGAAAATAACATGTTCAAAGACCCTGAGGAGGAGAAAGTCCGGTATGCTTGAGGAATAATGAAGATGCAAAACTAGTTACAGCAGAATGAAGAAGGAAGCAACGATAAGGATATGAGACCACAGGCAAAATCAAGGAGGGCCTTTAAATCTTTAGGACTCTAACCCTTATACTGGTGGGCCACTGGGGCACTGCGACAAGAAAATTGAGAAATTTCTTTTTCTATTTTGATGGTATCACCCTCAAATAATAGGATGATGGGGGGCGTGATGATCTGGAATTAGATAGTGGTTATGTTTGCCTAAAGTAGCAATATACTAAAAACCACTGAATTATATACATTAAAAGAGTGAAGTGTATGATACATGAATTATATCCCAATACAGCTGTTAAAATAAAATAAAACAATAGAATGTGTGTATATGTGAAAAAACAATGTGTGTGTATGTGAAAAGTGTCCAGGTAGAAGGAGGGAGCCCAGTAAGATGTCTAGTGAAATAGTGTACAAGAACAAGACAGGCACTGAGGATGGGCCTAAACAATTTGAACCATAAAATTGTCTTTAAATTATACGAGGAAGGCTACTGGAGGAAGAGACTGGTGGTAAGAAAAGAAGTTCTGTTTGGGGCATATTACAATTGAGATCGCTATTAGACTTAGAAGTAGATATGTTAAGCACAAATTAGAAATATAACTCTGTAGAACAAATTAGTGACTAAAGATATATATTTGAAAGGGTTTAGTGTATTGATGCATCTAAAGCCATGAGAATAAATGAGATTAAAGAGTGCTTGTTGAGGGCCGGCCTGGTG